CGGGGTCAGCAGAGAGGCTGATGATGGGTGTTTGTATGTTTAGTAAGATGATTAGGTAAAGTGAGAAGAGACCTTTCTCCGTTTGATCTAACCTGACATGACAGGCGTGACAACCTGATGAACCCAGATTATCTTGTCAGACGGTCTGTCACTAAAAAGGCATTCTAGGACTGCAGAGGTGGTGTAGGGTGCTACAGAGACCTGATATGCTTTAGCACTGGCTTTCCTTATGACATGATATCTTACCTTACAGCTATAGTTCAATTAGTAAAGGAGTGATTTATTTCATTACAGATTATTTTTTGAGTGATTTTTTCCGGGGGTCCATTAAACTTGTTGAATTCAAATCTTCCCACTTTGTCTGTTTTACTTTCGTGTTTCACCTCTAAATCTAACTATAAAACAGTATAAATTAGTATGAATGTGTGTCCAGCGCATATTTCGTTCATCCAACCTACTTCATACTTGCCGGGTGTATTATGGCTACCAAAGGACGTGCAGTGTAGAAATTGGTGCAATTTGAACACATGACATATCCAATATTATTAAACTTTGGCTAAACAAGCCATAAATTCTTCGGGGCTTCAGGGCTCTGCGGAATGAGCCGAGCATGATGTCCACAGTGGGTCTTTACAGGCCGCGGTGCATTGACTGCAGCTCACTTTAAAAACGAAGGTGAAAGACCTCCATCTCACAGATAAACATGGACAAACAAAAAGCTTGGCCTGACATGTTGAAAAAACTATATATTGGTCTAACCCAGGGGTTGGCAACTTTTTTGATATGAAGTGTCATTTTTAAATGTTTTTGCCATATCAACATTAAGGTTAACATTAAGTTTATTTATGACACCACATCAAAAATTAAATCTCCAACGGATCAGAATCAGAATCAGCTTTATTGGCCATGTATGCGTATGCGTACAAGGAATTTGACTCCGGTTTTCACTTTGTTCACAACGTATATGTTTACAAATAAACAAGAAAAATATAAAAACAGAGCAACGCCGGCAGGCTCTTAATCCAATACTTTAATCTCTGACTTGGAACATTAACCCGGAAGACCAGTTTACTGAAGGTGTCCTTAGCAAATTGAAAGGTAGCAATAGACAAAAGAAACCACAGCTTAAAAACACCAAAAATCAGTACCTGCTCGTCCACCCATTAACTAATATAATACAACAGGTGCAAGTCTTTTTTTTTTATCCCTGTCACATGGTCCACACTGGTAATAACAAATCATTTCAATGATATATAGATGCCTTTCATGGGAATTGGAGCCTTTCCAGTTTTCAGTTTCAGAGTTTCTCTTTCCCATAACAGCTGCTTGGCAGTTACCAAATCCTATTCCACTATTGCTGCCAATATCAATTTTTACTTTCACGGCAAAACATTTTTTTGCACAGTAGATAGGCAAAGAAAGCTTTTTAGCAGATAGAAAGGAACGGATTGCTCCACGTTTTGATTGTAATGTGAACTCCAGTCATCCTGGATCCCAATTGGGGCTGGTAATCGGTACTCTATACCTTTAAGTTATCAACCGAAATCATCCAGTACCAAGTAGTTTCAAAACTTCTCCAGTCAAACAATACCTGCTTTAGATCCTTTTTATACCAAGATAGAGAACATTTTTTTTAAATTTAATTCAGCATGGCCCATTACCAGCTACAACCCATACAGTCGGTGGTATGTGGTTAAGTCAGTGGTGAAGTCGAGCGCAGTGTATTTGATGGAGTTTCTACTTCAGCGTGCAGAAATGCCACCAAAACGGTCGAAAGTATGGCTTTAGTACACACCTGTGGCGGCTGTGGAGGTGGTTTTAACACAACTGAGTGCTTCACTTATGCCGAGTATTGAAAAGTAGCAAAAAAAGGTACAAATTAAGTACTCTATTGGTATCAGCATCACTTTAAGGGTACTGGTTATAAACAATACCCAGCCCTTATCCCAATACAACATCCCAGTCTTGTGCATCTGCCAGTGAGGGATCAGATGACACTGTTGTGTTTGTGTGACTATCTTCTGCGATACACCGGTTGCAAATTGAGGTCACTTGAGTTAAAACATGCTGACAGATTGGCCAGCACAGACCTGCCTGGATATCAATAAACCACAACATGGCATGAAACGATTATTATCTGAGGGAGAAATGCGGGCCTCTGTCTTTCTGTAAAAGGGGATGATTCTTGTTCTTAGTTACATCCAAGTTCTGAGTTCAGTTAGAAAGTGCATTTCAAACTGAGAAGACGAAGAAAATCTCATCAGTTAAACTATTTAATTAAAGCACAAATAAGAAATACTGTAAATAGAAGAAAACTTTGATATGACAAGAGACATTCTAACATATCACAGCACTTAGGTGACATTTCATCTTGAAAAATTGCGGTTTGTTTTCAGAGCTTCAAAACGTTGGAAAACACGGATGTTTTATTATGACGAGCGATTAGTTGACTAAGAGGGAGCAGCCCTAGTACACAAGGCCAGAGTGTATGAGAAAGGGTAGCTGCTCTTCAAGACATTCAACATAATTAGTTTGAGCACACAAAAATGCAACAGCAACAGCAGCCTGAAGCAGCAATAAAGGAACACGTAGTTATTCTGAGCAATTAACTGTGTGATCCCTGATAATTGTGCCAACACCAACAAAGTGATCCAAAGTCATCTTAAAAAGCCCCTTGGCAGCACAGAATCATGTTGTGGAAACAGTGTGGGAGAATATTGTATGATGTATAGCTCACAGGGCTCAATACTTTGCTGAGTAGTCTACTATTTCAACTATTGATTATATTGCCAATGCATGGCCATGGTCCCCAAACAGGCTGCAAATAAAGCTGATGAGCCTTAAACCTAAGTGCCTTAAACATGCATTCTTTCCAATGGCCAGCAGGGGGAAACTTCTCTGGTTGCAAAAAGAAGTACAGTTGTATCGAAGTCTATGAGAAACTACTTCAAACTACTACTTCAAACATTGTAAACATCTTCATCAATACAGCATGATGGTTATTTAGTAACGTATGTTGCCATTTGGAGTAAAATAGAGGATAAAGCACGGGATGCTTTAGGGTGTGGCTACCTTGTGATGGACAGGGTGTTTTCCGTTTATTAGCATCACTCTCATATATCACTTCTGGTTCCACAAAAACAAACTGGCGATTATGGCCAACTTAGTTCTGAATATTTGAAGAAACTGTTCAAAGTTTAAAAATGAATGCTGACAATTGTATTAATAATTGGTTATTGCTAACAGGGCTGCTACCTTGAAATTCATCACAAACATAATGACTTTTTTAGCCTGGTTTGTGGTAGGCTATAAATGCTAAAAGTACAATTAGTAAGTTAAGTTTGGGGTCAGTTTTTGTTTTTTGGCTGAGGTAAATTAGCCATAGACTGCCCATAACAGCCTGATTTATCTAGTTTAATTACAGGTGACAGTTGAATTCCTCACACACCTATGTGCCCTGACAGCCGTTATACATTCTGAATGGCAACCCACCACGCCCTGTGTGGTCACACCTGTGATGGCAGTAAGAGGCATCTTTCCTCCTACCTGTTCGGCCGCTCCCACCTCCGGGGAGAAGGCTATAAAAAGCCTCCTCCGGGCCGCCTAAGCTCCATCTCCTCCGCACCACTCTTTGGGTTTGACAGGGTTAACTGAACGCATCAGTCAGAAGTCACCATGTCCACCATGTACAGCTCTGCTTATTCCGGCTTTCCCCTGTCCTCTTCGCCCAGGATGACAGGCTCCCAGCGGGGATCGAGTGTCCACGGCGGTGCAGGTGGCCGCAACGTCCGGGTGTCGTACGCCTCCAACGGCCTTGGCTCTGGCTTTGACTTGGCAGGGGCGCTCGGAGGCGGCGGGGGCGGCGGGAACAATTTCGCCGTTCCGGGCAGCGACAAAGGGACCATGCAGAATCTCAACGACCGCCTGGCCAACTACCTGGAAAAGGTGCGCTCCCTGGAGTCGGCCAATTCGAAGCTGGAGATTCAAATCCGCGAGTGGACCGATAAGCAGAGCCCCGCCGCCAGTGACTATAGCAAGTATGTGGCAGTCATCGAAGACCTGCGCAAAAAGGTAAACTTTCCCCTGTAAGAGTTCCCCTACTGCTGTAAAACAGTTAAACAATAACCTAAACCTAATTATAATAAGTGATTTTCCCCGTTTCTAAACTTACCTCCAGCCATTGTTGTAAAAGAGATCATTATAAGATGCCATAGATTCAAAGCAATTACAGTGTAATGCAAGTCAGGTGTACAGAAAACCATTTTGCTGATCAAAAAAGAAACCCGCCAGCCGAAATTCTAGATAATAACACGCCCTTTGGTTGTTTTACATAACACGCCCTTTGGTTGTTTTACATAACACGCCCTTTTGGTTGTTTTACATGTGGTTAAGAGACTACTGCTATTTGTTTTTCAGATCGGTGTTGCCACACAGGACAATGCCGGGCTGATGCTGCAGATCGACAATGCCAGACTGGCAGCAGAGGATTTCCGAATCAAGTGAGTGAAAAGAAGTAATCGGCACCTAATTAGCCTTATTATGGTTTATAATGGCAGACATCTGGGACTTTACAGTTACAATAGCCTGCAGCATTTTAACTCGACATTGCATTTGTTCAGTAGTTCCAGGCTTTGTCGATGTTTTGTCACGGGGGTTTAACGGTGAGCAGAGTGATTAAACCGGTGTAACTGGTTTTGGTGGAGATCCACCTTGTCTTTTTTGTTGTTAGTAACACTAATTGAGCGGGTGCACCAACACGAATCTCTGTGCCTTTTTCTTGACAGGTTTGAGAATGAGATGGCACTGCGCATGTCGGTGGAGGCGGACATCGCCGGGCTGCGCAAGGTCCTGGATGAACTGACCGTGGCCCGGTCTGACCTGGAGATGCAGGTGGAGGGCCTGAAGGAGGAGCTGGTCTACCTGAAGAAGAATCATGAAGAGGTGAGACTAGTACTGTTAGGAATAGCATCACACCATGTCAGTGAGCTCAAGTGACTTATCGTCTGCAATAGATAACAAAACATGAATCTTTTTCAGAGTAGTTTATATATCAGAAGGAAATATGAGTGATCTCTCCACGTTTTTGGAAAGTCTTACAGGTACAGTTCCAGGGGGCAAATGCAATATTAAAATAGTTTTTCACATTTAGTCAACTATTTGCAAAACGCCTCCCAATGTTATCTTTCACTTGTATAAACAACCGGTAATGTAAAACTTGTTTGGATTGGCTGCTGTGCCTTCAGGTTGTGTACTGTACTGCAAAGTAAAAAAACAATAACTGATAACAAGACATGTCAGATGTTAGTCTGATTTATAGATGCCAAAAAAAGCTCTTCTAAATGATCATCAACGTGAGAGATACATAAAAACATCAAACAAGGCTTCATATAGAGACATTTTGTATCAGTACGTTAATTAAAGTGAATAAGTTCAGAACAGTGAATTCTAAAATGAAGTGAAAGAGCAGTGCAAGTAAAAATGAGAAACAAAGTCAGTGAACTGACTTAGGAATGTAAATGACAAAATATTTATCCATTTTAAGTTTAACGCTTCATGTGGGTTTTATCTTTGACCTTTAACCCTGTTGTGCCTGTAGGAGATGGCAGCAATGCGTGGCCAAGTTAATTCCAGCTCTGTCAACGTGGAGGTGGACGCCAAGCCTCAGGCGGACATGGCCACCACCATGGAACAGATCAGAGCTCAGTATGAGGGCATCACTGAAAAGAACCGCCGCGAAATGGAGGCGTGGTACCAGGTCAAGGTGAGGGGAACGAGACAAATCATGTTCACATCATCTCATCTCGTGCAGGAATACACTGTATAGTAGCCTGAATAGCGTTTTTGACAATTTTCATGTTCAATTTCACGTCTTCCAGTTTGACGACGTGAACAAGCAGGTGGCATCCAGCACAGAGACCCTCCAGACCTCCCAAAGTGAGATCAACGAGCTCAAGAGGACCCTGCAGTCCCTGCAGATTGAGCTGCAGTCCCAGCTCAGCCTGGTAATTCAGATCTCACATGCACACATCATTTTTCACCCCAACACAACATACATCTTTCTAACCTGTTGCGTTGCTCAAGTCTTTCATTTCTGATCTGCGCAACATATCATAGTAACATATCTTACAACATGTTTGACACAACACACTATACATAATCAGTAAGTCTGTAAACTTGTCACTCACCGTTTAAAATGGCTTTCTCACTCTGCTTTTTTTGTTTTGTTTTACATCTGAGTGGAAAGAGTTAAAAAAACAAGTAATTAGGGCTCAATAAACTGATATCTCCTGTGTTTTTTCTCCCGTGCAGAAATCTGCCTTGGAGGGCCAGCTGGCAGATACAGAGTCCCGCTATGGTCTGCAGCTGGGCCAGCTGCAGACCAGGGTCAACACCCTAGAGGAAGAGCTGAAAAATATGAGGATGGACATCGAGAGGCAGGCCAATGACTACCAGGTGCTGTTTGATATCAAGACCAGGCTGGAGCTGGAGATCGCCGAGTACAGAAGACTGCTGGATGGAGAGGAGTAAGGGAATTCTTTATTGAGATGTTTGTCACAAAAAGTCAATCAACTTGAAGTATGATTTCTCTGTAGCTGGACTTGAATAAGACAGGCAGGTACAATGTGTGGGGAAAGTAACTTTCATGGATCTGTAGTTCTCATATAGAATGAAATGTTAAATACTTTTATTCGCTTTTGCATTGACTGTAAGATTGATACCACTCTTTTATGTTTGTATGGTAAATGTGAAGCTACAACCAGGAGCCAACTAGCCTAGCTTAGCATTGAGACTGGCTAGCCTGGCTCTGTACAAAGGTGACAATATTCGTCTAACAACACATTTAAAGCTCACTAATGACCTTACTATAAACAAACAAGATTTAATGTTCTAAGTGTATAACATTTCTGTATTCGTATGTTTTAAAAACGACGAGACCTATGTTGTATTTTCGAAAAACATATACCAAGCTAACTGGCTGCCGGCTGTAGCTTCATATTTAGCATACGGATGTGAGGAGGTGTCTGTCTTCTCATCTAACTTACGATTAGAAAGGGAATATGATTAATTCCCAGAATTTGTTTTAACAATCATATTATCACATTGTATGTCTTCTAGGAGAGCTGTAGTAGTGGAAGTCAAACATAAGTTTACATCAACACTTTATTTTTTCGGTCTTTGTTTGTAAAAAGTAAAATATGCTACAGATTTAACTTTGTTTTGATTTGCTCTGCAGCTAAACCAGTCTTTACCCAGAGGACGAAGATTGTGACTGAGGAGATTGTTGATGGAAAAGTTGTGTCCCGCACGGAAGATGTAAACACAGAGGTCATCGAGAAGTAGACAGACTGGATGCCAAAAGATCCGGGTCAAATAATAAGTTAGAATAAAAGCTGTTTTCCTGTCTCTGACACCCAGCAAATGTTCTACCCACGTCTACTGAAAAAAATAAATATATAATATTTTTCTCTTTCCAAATATCTGTGCAGAGTTAAGATTTAGATTTATTATCAGAAATATTTATTCTGATGTATTACCATGAAAAAAGATGGCAAAACCAATAAAATGTTTTAAAATATATAAGAAGATTGTATATGTGTTGATTACGAACCTGATTATTAACTGTGCTTTCTTAGTATTATTTCATAACATTTATTAAAATCCCACTGACAACAACTTTACTGACTGTCATCTAACCTGCCTTCTGAAATACCAAATGTAGCTACACATTAGGTGACACTGTGAGCCCCTGAAAGGAAATGCACTTCTGCAAAATGGAAACCATTGCTTCTCTGGCCATTGGATTGAATGGCTACATGGAGAGATAAAAGAAGCATAATGTCCTAATTTGTATTTTTTATTTTTTTCCGGGAGGACATCTGCGTCAGTGTGAAAGCTTATGGAAAATATTTGTGCATTTTATGTTATGGGGAATATTGTTATCAAATTAAATGTTATCCAAGTACAATTATCATAAAGAAATGAGACCATTTTTCAAGATGATTACCAGTCTCAAATGATGTGAAGTGTTTCTATAAATAAGGACCACACTTACCATACAACTTGTATATAAGTTGTTGTGAAATACATTTTTTTGTTCTGCAGAGAATAAACTTCTGCCTTCATGCTCTGTGTAAATATTTATAAAAGCCCGAAGTGAGAGTTACTTCAACCATTAAGATCTGTTTTACTAATTCTTCACCCTTCCAGCCTAAATAATTTGCCCACAGTCCATTACTTGGTCTGGTATGACCAAAAGCTTTTGGTTACTAAATGTTAGCTAATGTTAGCAAACTTAAGCTATATGCTAGATGCATGCTAAAGGCCCCACCAACTCTTCTAAATAGGACAAGACACATCATTTATAGTTGTTAAGCCTCTTTTTGTTGTTGTTTTGTGTATCTTTAGTCATATTGAGTCTCCGTAGTTGCTTTGTGTCTTTTTGTGGTTATGTGTGGCGTTGAGGTTGTGTTGCCCTACTTCAAAGTTGTTGTGAGTCTCTTTCTGATTGTTTTTTGTTTCTTTGCAGCTGGTTTGCGCATCTTTGTAGTTGTTTTGGTCTCATTGTAGTCTTTTTTTGTCTCTTTGTCAGGGACGTTGGAAGTTGGTTAGAGTTGTGGGTGCTGAGAGAAAGTCTATATAATGACGTCATATTAAATGCTGCGCAACATTCATGTTTTTTGTATTAATTTGAATGGCCAACAACATCTTACCCCAGTTTTAGAATGATTGAGACGAGAGCTATTCAAAGATCTATAGAGCGCTCTATTTCTACTTGAATTCACAAACAAATACATTTTGAAATTTACCGCAAACATTATATAAATAGTAGCAGTCGATGATTTGTCAAGTCTTAACAGGAGGGATGGCTCAATAGAAGCATATTCATAGGAATATTATAGAAAAACTACAGTAAGAAGTGCATCTCTATGATCCTTGCATCTCTATGATCCTCGCACTCTCCATGACTCTCTGAGTGTCATTTTGTAGGTTAAGGCCCCTGGGCCTGAGCCCGATTGGCCCGTTTAGTAACACATCCATGGTAACAGACATCACTGAACCAGTGTGCAGACTTTATGACCTCTCCTGTTTTGCTGATATTGCACTATTTTTAAGCATTTAGCATGATTCCGTAATTTTCACTTGAGACCACAATGGCTACTGTTGAATAAACGTAAACGTTACACAGTCTGGCTTTCACTGACCATATAGTAGCAAGGGGGAGGTTTGTGTGAGCTCCCTGTACATGCAGTGTTTTAAACTGTCAACTAGGTGTCAGTAAATTATCTTTGATAAAGTCTTGGATACGGAGACGTGCACCTTTTTCTGTGGGAATGTCTTCTTTATACAGTAGCAGTACTTCCCGATCAGAATGCAACATAACCAATGAAAATATTTCTATCATTACTGAATATTATAGTAGGGATTCGTTCCAATAGTCACTAGTCTGCACCAACATCAACAATCCTTACTTCTCTTTTATTTTCTACATTCTTGTTTTGCACGGTGTAAAATAAATTTCTATTTTCTCAGAATCCCCTGAGAGAATGAGACAGCACACAGAAAAAAGGCTGAATGTGGGGAATTTGTGCTGATAGATAAATCTGTCTTTTTTTTTTTTTACTCACGGAGTAATACGGTCACTATTTATTTGCAGCCTTTCAATGTGTTTCGTGAATTATTTGCCTTTTAAAATGGCTATCATGGGCTTGTCTGACTCAAGTCCATACATTTGTCCTTCCCTGTCTGTCCCTGAGGAGACACATGGATGTGGGGAAAGTTGTTAAACATTTGGTGTAGTTGCATGTAGTTCTACCTCTTCAGGTGCATTAAAATGAGACACCTCTCATGCATTTACCTATGCCATTAATATTTCCTTGCATTCATGTTATCTGTTTATTAATAGTAGGTATCATTCAAGCTGAACACATCCTAAGTCCAAAGAAAAGAGCCATTAAAGCAGGGACTTTCAGTGCTCCTACAGGCTCCACTCTGGGTTTATGTATAGTCTGATGTCTGCAGCAACGATCTGCTCTGCTGTGGCACGACTGTGTCACTCGGGGCTGGTGGTCCCTAGTCACGACACGAAATGATGACAAAATTCTGCACCACGGGAAGTTGACGTCGCCGCGGTACAGTCACCTCCTCGGTAACGTCACGTGACGGAGGCTGGGTGGCAGCAGCCGGGGATGATGCCATCTGCTGGATGGACTCTGCCACTCACCCAGCATTACGTCATCGGGGAGAAACCGGTGCCAGCTCTGCCATTGGTATAGCCTGAGAGTCTGGATGTGAATGCACAACGAGCCGAGAGGTTGTCTGGCCTATAGTAACTCTGACTGAAGCTGTTGGACAGGAGCCGTTTGATCGAGCAGGGAGCTTCAACCTTTTGGAGATTAGCTGACAACAGTATAAACACTTCTCCCCCATACATTTTGTTTGGCTTATCCAATGTGGCAAATAGGAATATAGGCCACAATTGTGGAATTGTAATACAAAGTAATGAGTTAACTTTTA